AAATTGTGCTGAGATAGCGTTCGTGAAAGCGTGAATAACGAGCTGGCGAGGGCCCCGAGTTTGAAACTCGTGGTGACTTGACGGGCTCGCAGACATTTTAAAATTTAGATCTAAAGAATGGTAGTGCGGCTCTTGACTAAAACGCAGTTGGACTCCATTCTGTCCGTTTCCTCGTTAAATTCCTTTAATTTCAGAACGGTTGTTCAAAATATATTAATCTTGAAAGCTTTACTCGCGCGGTGAACAAAAGACAGCTTTTTCCACGCGTATTTTCACGTTTTACGGTCAATTCGCCACCACAACAAGCTTGCCACCACAAAACTAACTACCACTAAGAGTCAAATCACCACCGGTAGCGATTTGACTCAAACTTTATGTGTAGCCTGTCTTGTGAAACTAAAATCAAATGAAAGCTGAGATGTAGCAATACATTGCGAAAAGCGATATATAACTCAGAAGTTATGTTTAGCCTCTCAATTATGACACCGAGTAATTTTCGCCACGTGATTTTCGCCCTGATGTTTATGAAACCGCACGAAACTTACATCAAATAAAGGCTAAGAAGTATTCGTAAATTGCGACAAAAAGCGTGCACAAATACAGCGAATTTCACAGAAGCGGACTTGGCGTCCTTTTATTGTTTTAAGCACAAAGAATGTCGACGTGACCTTTAACACGAGTTTCGTTCTTTCGAACAGAATTCGTAATCAAATCTAATAAAAATTAATATTATGAAAGCTTTGATCTTGAATTTTATTCGTTTTTTAGTTCTGATAATGCGAAATTTATAGTGTGCGCGAAATTTTGCTGAGAACGACTTGGCTTCCTCTGGGAGTCCCTGAATTTCTTTTCTGGAATGATTAGTATGTAAGCGATGTTCCCTCCGACAGCCGCATTTGTTAATCATTCGATCAATATCGATGCCGAACAAAGTATTATAGATAAAGGCTCTTTCTCTGGATTTCTAAAAACTATTTAAGACTTCTGATTAAGAAACACATCCTTAAGGTATATCCCTAAACGCCGAAAAATATGTTGGCTCTTTAATTAGTTCCCCAATGCTGTAGGGACGATCGATGAGTTAACAAGTGCAGAAATAGAACACAAAGATTTTAAATCTTGGTGAAGGGTGTAACAACGTGATTTGTTTTCAACTCATCGAAAGGCCTCTCAATGCGGGTGTTTTCAGCCAAAATTTCAGATCAAAATCGCCGTCTTTGGACACGCTCCAAGACACACAGACCGAATCTATTGCTCCATTCTGTACAGCATTCTGTACAGCAACCCTGCTTAAACCGGTACCGCAAGTGCGGTGCTGCCACATGAAACATCCATCACAATGCAATACCTCCCAGCGCGGACACACCTCAAAGCCGCATGCGATACAAAGATGTATTATGAGTGGGGATGATTTTAAAGAGTTGTGTTTGTAATGATCTCAGAATGAAAACCATGCTCCTTCATTATCCGCAACGGATCGAAATCTACGAATAAATTAATAGTTTAATGATTCGGTCATCAGAGGAAACATCGCTATTATCATTCCAATACACCGCGCTTATGCACACTTTTAATTTTGCATCTTTAAAACCAAAACTAGTTAAACTTTAAGATCTAACCTTTCCTATGATATGAGTTTCATTAAGATTTATTTCAAAATGCGTGTAAAAGAAAGAAACTCGTGTTACAGGTCACGTCGACATTCTTTGTGATGAACACAAAGAAAGGAAGTCAAGTCCGTTTCTGTGAACTTCGCTGTATTTGTACACACGTTTAATGTCGCAATCTACTACCACATCTTAGCTTTCATTTTATGTAAATTTTATGCGCTTTAATGAATGTCGACGAAAATCACTCGGTGAAAACACTCTGGTTTCGCTTTACGCAAACTGATCATAATTTTTGTGATATCAACATAATGGCCAGCTCCCAGTTGGCTTTTTAGCTCAGTTGGTATAGCGCTGTACCGGTATCGCAAAGGTCCTAGGTTCAAATCCCGTACGGGCTTGAATTTTTTTCAGGCCTTATTTCAACTACTAGTTCAGTAGTGTTCATAATTGCGAGGATCGCTTATATTCGCTATGATTTATTTTATTTAACGGTTAAGTTCCATAATTGAGAAACCACTGACGTTCTACCTTCCCTTTCAGTTTTCAGAAGAAGATGCCAAGGATAACGATGCTGAAAAATTTCCTTAAGCCTCGCTTCCAGCCTGTCCTGTCAAGACGATTTGAATCCCATTTGTTGAACCGACCAGAAAAGAGTCTTAACATCCTTTTCTTCGCAAACAAGCACAACAGCCTCAGCCAAAGGATGGCTCTAGAATTGAGAAAGAGACAACATAACATCACTGTGCATGAGATCAACGAGCCTGTAGAGATGACAAAGTTGGCTTTTGATGCCCAACCCGATCTCATTCTTTGTCCATTTCTTACCAAACGAATTCCAGAAGAAGTGTTTTCTAATCCCAACATCCCTTGCTGGATTGTTCATCCTGGAATCGAGGGCGACCGTGGCATGAGTTCCATTGACTGGGCCTTGTATGACAGGGAGGAGGAATGGGGAGTGAGCGTCCTTCAAGCGGCCTCGGAGATGGACGCAGGCGATATTTGGAGCACCAAAACCTTTCCTGTCAGGCGCCCAGAAGTCAACACACTTACCAAGTCGAGCATGTATGTGAATGAGGTTACACAAACAGCCGTGAAAGCTGTTCTGGAGGCCATAGATAATCTCCTGGTTGGAAAAGCACCCAGACCTCTTGACTACAGCAATCCACAAGTGAGGGGAATCTGCCGCCCTAACATGACCAAGGCTGACCGAACTGTGAACTGGGAATTGCCAGCTGACGAGATAGCCTGTCAGATTCGTATGTCTGATTCAGCACCAGGAGCCGTCGGTCGCTTTAGAACAAAAGAAGCAGGTAGTGATTGGGACTGGACTAAGGATTTTCGCCTCTTTGGAGCACGTCTGGAGAAAGGAAGACTTAGATTCCTGCCGGGAAAACCTGGTGAAATACTGGGCCAAAGCCATGGATCTGTTCTGGTCAAGTGCGGCAGGGGAGCTCTATGGGTTTCACACCTGAAGAAGAGCAAGCTCAAACTTCCTGCTATGATGTGGTTAAAATCTCAAGCACCAACCGTGGTAGACCCCTCTCTATCTATTCTGTACGGCTCCTATCCTTACACAGCTCAGGACATCTGGACGAGTATGACATCTGACGGCGTCTGCTTTGTACACTTCGAGTTTTACAACGGAGCTATGAGAACTAGCCAATGTCAGCGTCTTGTTTCCGTTTTGCGGGCGGTTGAAAATAATGATTTTTGCAAGGTAATGGTTCTGATGGGTGGCCGAGACGTGTTCAGCAATGGTATCCACCTTAATGTTATCGAAGCAGCAGATGACCCAGTACAGGAATCATGGAGGAACATCAATGCTATTAACGATGTCGTGCGTTGTATCTTCTCCAGTAGAAAGATCACGATCTCAGCATTACGTGGAAACGCTGGAGCCGGTGGGGCCATGTTGGCTTTGGCTAGCGACTTCGCCTTTGCACGTGATGGGGTGGTGCTGAATCCTCACTATAAGCTAATGAAGCTTTATGGTTCAGAATATCACACATACTTTCTGCCAAAGCGTGTGGGCCAAGAAAAAGCGGATGAGTTGTTGTCCAGTGCCAAACCCATCCTAGCCTCTGATGCCGCTGAAATTGGTTTTTTGGACGGAAGTGTTGGAGACAGTGCAGAGGAGTTTGAAAGCTGGATTAAGGAGCAAGCATCGTACCTCTCCCGCACCCCTTTGCAGTCGTACATTGTCCGAGAAAAGAACAAAAAGGCACAGCGCCAAGTCATGGAGAACATCGAAGAATGTCGCTCAAATGAGCTCTCAATCATGGCGAGAAACTTTCAAGATCCCGAGTATCATCAAGCCAGAAAAAACTTTGTTTATCACTAACATTCTTGGGGTACGGACAATTAACGCGAGCTTTGACTTAGATAAAGCTTTCTTTTACCTACACATGGGGTCGGCTGTCGCATATCCATTTGTAACGAGAGCCCAAGAGATGCTTTGTGATATCGATTTTAACTTTTCACATAGTTTTTATTCTATTTTGTGATACCTTTTTTACTTTTATAATTCTACTTTGCCAAACAATTCCTTCCTTAATAGTTTTTACTGAAGTAGATGGCTTCCCATTGCAATAAACGTTTAAACTCTCTCGGTGTGTCTGTTATCCCTTTACATCCCAACATAAGCGTATTCATATTCTCCATACTGTTATTCATTCATTCATTTCCTCAGGCGCTGATAAGGAGAATTTGTTTAACAATCAAAAGCTTTTTTAATAGTGATCAGTTCCTTTATTCTCATGACCTTTATGTGTGATTCAGGGGTGATAGGTTGAGAGAAATTACTTAAGTCACTTTTAAGTGTCAAAGGGTCAAGAAGAGGATTCTTCTGAACAGAATTCAAAATACTATAAGGAATCTGTGAAATGACGAACGGCGAATGTATTTACCGTAAAGCAGTTGACTATAAGTCCAAGATGGCTCTTGAGAAAGACGATTTTAGAAGGTTTTCATTGATCTGGGAATTTCGTGTTGCAGGAAATTGGGTCGCGGCGCGCGTTGCATCAAGGTTGGAAATGGACCTTTAAGCGAATGTTTGTCTTTAACCCTTTAACTCAGAGAAGTGATTCGCATCTAACTTCTCCCTGCAATATCCGTACATTATCCAGCAAACAGGTAATGAGAATACCCAAACATATCAAGTAGAAGTTGTTTTGATCTAACAACAACTTCTTGTAACTAATTTCAAAGGAAATATGTAGTAGCTGGAGGAGAGAATTGACTATCAGATCTTGGGAGTTAAAGGGTTAAGGGTCATAAACAATCACCTTCAGCAATAGTGTGTAAGTGTTGACAGCCAACAAAGAGATGACACAAACCGAAAGAGAGGAAAATGGTAAGACGCGGATTGCAATGATGCATTAATAGACACACTTTTTTAAACAAATGAAGAGTTGTTTATTCCTTGTAAAACACTTTTAATTACACCCCGAAACGTATCAAAGCATATTATTTAGATGTCAGTTTTGCGTTAAGGATAGGTACACGAAGGATTTGGCAAGAAATATCGTTTGAAACCCCTCAAGTGAAATTGGTGAACCATCAAAGTTTAGTTCGCGAACTTCGTCATCATCACACTTTTTTACCCATTCAAAAGTAACCGAAGTTTATGAAAAACGCTAGTAGGCGTGTATATCTTTTTTGGAACTCAACGACTTCTCAAAGTTTACACTTTCAATTTTATATGTAAACAACATAAACCAAAAGGTAAATAATTCGACAGCTTCGAATAAATATTTCAGCTATTTGTTGAACGTATTACTTTCCATCAAAAACTGCGGCTATCTACAATGAGTTGATTTGTATTCAATGTTTTTCAACAATGGACTGAGACTTAAACAATCTAATCCACTGATACTTTAGTGAAGCGTTACATTTGGCTGTCGAACTTATCAGTTCCTTGACTGTCTCTAGACGATTCTGTTCAATGGAAGACCCGTTCATTCCTCTTTCACTATATTGTTTCATTCAAACTCTCCGTCACGATGTCTAAGTTCATGGACAAACTGCGTGAAAAAGTTTCTCCCAATGGGTGACATACTCGCTTTCATTGCGTGACTGACGTCGAACTTTTTCAAGCGGTCCGCTTGTAAATTTAAGCATGAAGTCCTCTTCCCAATCAGATCAGATGTGTTGCGGTGTTTCCAAACCAACTAAAAGGCGATACATGGAGGCAGGCATGGTCTTCATACGGATCTGAAGAGATACAAATCAGTTAGAAATTCTGATCGTCTAAAAATTCAAGACTTGATTTCATGGCACTCAAAAGAAAAGTGCTTTGACAAACAAAACCCCGTAACGTCAACAAACCTCTCCTACTGTGGTGGCCAATAGTTCCACTATATGCTGATGAGACGTGGCTACCACACTCTCGCCATTTATTTCAATAATCCTGTGTCCCACTCGAACACCGCCTCTCTCTGCTATACTTCCGCGCATTAAACTGCAAATCTAAAGAGGACAAGATAACTAAAATCAGTAACAGTAGCGCGACAAGGATGAGTTAGAATATTACTTGAAACATAAGAGTCCTGATTGACGAAACTGAGGTTTAGCATGACAAAAATTCAGCTTATATCTGAGCTGTCTTTTTTCGGAGAAACCTAAGTCTAACAACACGTTCAAGCCACAACACTTCATGTGATCGTTCCGAATATCGTCATGAAGACGTGCAGCTGAATTTTTACGAGGTGAAGTCAAGATCGTGTGTAGAGCTGCAAAGGCCGACGGGAGAGGAATGGAAAGAAAGACTATCTACACCAGGAAGTTTTCCTTCACAAGTACACTTGTCAAAGAAATATCGGATCAATATCAGTATCTGGGCAACTGCCCACCCACCCTTCCCCTGACCCAACAACAGTCAATTGATGACAAGTTAGGGTTAATGTTGGGTTAGGGGAGGGGTAGGTGGGCAGTTGCCCAGATACTGATATTGATCCGAAATATCTTACGCTAAATTAAATACAAATGAAAACTTGTTATGGACACTTAGGAAAACATGTTGAAGTACAATTTCCCCAAAACCATTTTATGCGTAAACGTCTCTTTCATGCCACCTAAACAAATTTCATCTTTGAGCACAGCTGATGACAGTTTTTAGACAGGAGGACTTGAGAACGAAAAACATGCCCGTATAAACGCAGCTTTTTGCTAGGTAACAGTTTATCTGAGTCAGTAACTACTCAAAAGCTTTAAACGCACCATACAAATTACACGTCTACATGAAACAAAGAGCAACCCACTTACCATTCCATTTTGCACACTGAATCCAAGCTGATATTTGGTATCCGGTCTGTTAACCACCACTTGAACAGTTGGAGGACACGACACGATTTTCATCACCACTTTCGTCTCTGGACGTATGCCCTATGACACATTAACAGTCAACACTTGTTAAACATGAAGAAGAATACTACTGACGAATAATTTTTACGAGCATCTACTTTTGCTTAGAGTCAGGGTAATACTCAATTAAGGTGTCAACATTCTTTTGGAAATATTGCAAGCACTTTGTTAGTAACAGGAGAGAGGGGGAGAGAGGAAGAGGAAAGAGGTGAATCTCAGAGGAAACAAGCGAAAAAAAGGGAGGTTTTCAGGTTGCCTTCCTTGTTTTTACACTCGCATGCGTTGCTGTTTTGGCTCGTCCTCCCAGATTGAATGGTTTCCACCGTACAGGCTAAGGTGCAGAGAAGCAGGAATTTATAAACTATCAAAGACTACACTACACGGCTAAAATTCATTTCTGTGAATCGAAGGTAGAGCCGTTAAACAGCACTGAAAGATTAACACGTCTTAACCCTTTAACTCCCAAGATCTCATTAGTAATTCTCCTTACTGTCTTCCATATAGTTCTTGTGATGTTAGTTTGGAGAATTTGGTATTGGATCAACACATAATCACCTAATTAAGATTTTTCTTTATTCTCATCACTTGCCTGCTTGACATTGTATTGATATTGTAAGGAGAAATTCTGTCTTGATCACTCATGGGAGTTACAGGGTTAAGGGGAAAGTGATAAAAAATTCCACACTGCTTGAAATACGCCCATGATGTGATGTTCTTCTGGAATCTCACTCCCGTAACTAGATTTCTTAAACTCATTATTTGTTCCCAATGATCAACCAACCAGGAAACGCCAGTTTTGTCACGTGCACGTGGTTTGCACCCCTGTGGCAAAATCAACCCTACAATCTAGCCAACTGTTCCAATTTCGTTGCCTTACCTTAATAATATTTTGACATTCTAACAAAGGCAGACCGACTAAACTTGTACCATTCACTGAGAGGATCTGATCACCAACATTAAGCCTGCCAGACTTAGCCGCTGGTCCATCTTTCGCTAGATGCGCTATGATGGCACAAGGAATCATGGATCCCCAGCCTGATTCCACGATCATCACACCAAGTATTTCAGCGGGCTTCTTATTAACAATCACCTACAACAAGACAGGATTTGAAAACATAAACTTTAAAGTCTGCAGTCATCTCGAAAGATCCTATTTGCGCTAATATCTTTGAGTTTCTCGTTGGCAATCCATCTAAATCCTTCCTATCTTTATTGCATTCTGATTATTTTCTTATCATTTTATCATCTCTTAGGAATTTTTATAAATTGCAACTTCCATATCTTGCGGTTTTAACTACCTCGACGCTGGTTTCGTAAGACGTAAAAAGCGAACATGAACATCATTAACTATCTCTCAAACATCGTTCATCCAGCTTACTTCTTTGGCGCTATTTTCATCGGACAACAGGGACAAGTCCTCGCCGAGTATTTTCTGTGCCTCTAACACACCGTTATACTCGGCATCTTCAATAACGTCCTCACTTAGTCCGTTTTGTCTTAAAAATTCTTGGTAAGCCACATTGAATGCCTGACCAATACTCTTGGCTATAACCTGAGCCTGCAAAGAATCAAGCCAAGTTTAGATTAGATTGAATTACTTGGGGGGTGAAGATACCTTTTGTTTTGAATTTTTGATTGAAGGCAACAAAATCAGGTAAAAAAAAAAGTACGATTTGAAAGGTTTACAGTCAAGTCGCCCGAAACCTGAGTCATGTTGCCCGAAATTTTAGTTATGTCACCCGAAAAAAAAAGTCAAGTCGCCCGAAGAAACAAATACTAAAAAGATTAGAATTTCATACTGTAAATAGGCAATAACGTTGACAAATTTTTATCACGAAGGCGCTCTTAGTTTCCGACAACACCATGAAGGTTCTTAAAGCGTTGTTCGTTCCTAACAACAAAGGGAAACGTTGTTCGTTTCCAACAACAAAATTCAGCGTTGTTCGTTTGGTATGTAATCGTTTCTTACTCACGGACGTTTCGTAAGCTTGAGAAACTCTTTCTTGGTTTCTAACAATACCATGAAGACTTTGACAACACAGAAAACGATCATATGCATGTTCGGAATTGAAATATGTTTGAGTAACAATTCTAAAAGCGTGGTTCGTTTCTAACAACAAAGGGAAGCGTTCTCCGTTTCAAACAAAAAAAATGAAGCGTTGTTCGTTTGGTACGTTCTCGTTTCTTACTCACGGGCAATTGGTAAGCTTGAGAAACTCTTTCTTGTTTCTTAACATGCCATGAAGACTTTCTGTAACAACATATGCATGGATGCAGCGCAACATACAAGTAAAGTTCTGTTGTGTCTATTTGTGACTTTCTTAACAATAACAGATGAAAACACCTGGTAAACGAATGTCGATTGTCGCGTTCGACAAGTCGGTAAAAGGTAAGGCGAGTAACATACAAATAAAATTAACTTGTTGCCTTGCGTAAGGTAAGTGCGATATTTTTAAGATAAAAGTCTATTGTTTATGCTTGTGGCTTTTTTCACAGTAATAGTCTGATAGCATCATTTCCCATAGGATCAGAATAGGCAAAAATTATGTAATTGTACTCTATTTCCTCTGGCAGTCGCATGTATATTTTGATCCGATCAAAGTACATATGAAGAGGGTAGAGCTAGCCACAATACGAATACGAACTGATCAAAATGAGCATTCATCCGTGTATTGAGTGTGATGACGAAGTTAGACCACGTCAACAAACCCTACAGTGCGACGATTACGGTCGATCATATGACCTTTCTGACCATATGATCGATTTCTGTGTAGCGACTATGATAAATATAATAAAGAGTTACCAGACAGAATCATACTCGTGCTCTGGAGACTAGAGACTAAATTTACAAAAGCAACGTCAACACCTGTTGCTCAAATGCATTCAATTCTTCTAATCCGAGCTGTCATTGTTACTTCTTCGTTATATAATCGCCTATTTTTGGGATTTTTCCATCTCACCGAGCTGATATTTTGGACCTTCTTCCGAATCGCAGCTAAGTTTTTCAAGTTGCGAAAAACCCAACGATTAAAAATAGGGCGACAAAGCTCTCAAAACGTCTCTCTTTATAAGAAGGTTCCTTCATGAAACATTTTTGAAGATAAATTATATATTTAGGACTGACCTCTGGCGCCTGAAAAACGTGGCAAGTGATCTTGACGTTTTTGTGGTCCGTCTGCGCCGTTCCTACGCTAGCCAGGATCTGTGAAGGTTTTAAAACCTCTTTGTTGGCGCGTTCCTCGGATTGCTGACGAGCCATTAGTACAAGGACATCTCCGATATCTGCGATGAACGACACGGAGCGGAGGGAGTGGTCTAACATGACCTCCTGTTGAAGAACAAGTTAATAGAACTATTATTTTTACATTTCTTGGGTAGGGAAACAACGCAACGATGATGGAGTTCTTTTCCTTTGTGTATGCCTGTGTCATTAGTGAAGAACATCATCTTTAATCTAGTCGCTAAACAGCTCAGTGTAGAGTGCTTATGAATCAAGATGGTGCAACTCACAACAAAAACTGGAAATTTTCGCTGCGATTTGTTGCCGCGTCGTGCTGTTTCCTGTCCTTTTCACGGTGTACTTCAGTACTTCAGATACAGCAGTCCCATTCACCTCCACATATTAGAACAGTTATCTTCAGAGAACGAACAACAAACAAGAAACCTGTAAAATTGGGATAACTTACCTTTGTAGTGGAATTGACCACTTTAAGTCTTTCAGTAGAAATGAAAAAGTCAATATCAGTAGTTGGTTGGTCCTCACCCTCAGGAACCTAACGGACAACAAACAAAACTGGCTGAAAAAGGGGAATTGTTAAAACTTGTGTATCAACGTTACTTTTTGCAATCCGCGTCAATCTTTTCCACCTTCACTATCCATGTTCCTACGTGCTATATTTTTACCTACTGAGAGTTTTTCTACCTTCGCAAACGAACAATCTGAAATTCTTTTTGGTTTTGAAGACGTCTGTACGCCGCAAAACCCTCAAAATATCAAATATAGCTCCTTTTGTTATAAGCAAATCACTCTTCATCCCTTCACACCCTAATATCAGTATGTATATTCTCCATACTGTTCGCTAAACATTTCCTAAGTTGGTGACAAGGAGAATTTTTTTCACAACAGAAAACGTCTTTAGTGGGTGTTCATTCCTTCATTCTTGTGACTTAAATGTGCGATTTTGAGGTGATATTTCAAGGAGAAATTAGATGTTGATCACTCTTAGGATCGAACGGTTAAAGGCGGATTTACAAGCCAGAGTACAAACTGTAATCAACTCGGCAGTGCCGCACATGGAACGACAAAGCACAAAGCCTCTTTGGTGAATTATAAATTTAAAGCTTACAAAGTAACCCTGAGGAAGCGAAGGATTTCAGTAAGTCTAACCTTTATTCGTCCCACGGCTTCCTGAGCCTGTTCCATCCGTACAGCTTTGTTTGGGGCCTGGGGCGACATAATTTGCGACGAACCCAGGTACTACAAAGAAAAAAATGAAAGGATATAAAAGCTAGAATTATAATTTGAAGGACGGATCAAATCCAGGTTGCATTCAGCTTGTCAGGAATGAATATTGAAGTTGTCTAAAATAGGTCATGATTATCTGCACCATCTCGAGCAAACAAAGGTGATTCATTTATGACGACTTGATTACAATCAATTCTGTTTGCATATTTATGACAGGGCATCAGATGTTAAACCAATATTCAGTAGTGCTATTCACCTGATTAGAATTGCCTTCAAATATACTTTGCTGTCGAAGTGCTAATTTTTGCACATAAATTAACCCTTAAGATCTGAGTGAAGTTACAACCGTCACGGTCTTGGTTATGTCGTCTGTTAGGGCGCCCAAAACTTATTTGAGATTAAGTATTATCAAAGATGGTTCTAGCCTTTTTTTAATGTTTATTCCTATCGAATTTAACCACACAAACACATCACCGATGGTCGAATCAGCCGTGTTAAGAAACAGTAGTGACTTGGTCGACATTAAATTAGGACTCATTTAAATGCAAAGTGCTAATCGATCGTGAGAAAAATAACCGTTGGTTTTCCATTCTTGAACACAACCTCTTACTCTAAAAATCATACTACTCAAACATTTGAAAGGATATGAAAGACGACAAAATTTGTTAGTTTTAAACCTTTTCATTAGGCCGTTTGTTTATAGAGTAACCTGTCAGTAGAGACAATAACGGGTCTTTCGGATGCAAATTTTCAAAATGATCGCGAATGATCAAAGCTATAGTTAAGAGACTGAGAGACCTATATTCGCAACACCAGAGAAGCAACACTTCTCCATTGAACGAGTAAAACTGAAAGCATGTAGATGTGACACTAAAAAGCGTCAGAAAAAAGCAATTCGAAGGCAATGCCCACGGGCCTTCAGACGTTTATTTTTAAGATTGATTTGTGACTTCCGCCGTTGATTCATCCACCAAACTGATGTAAATATCAACTTCTCAACTTTAAGACTTTTTCATAACTACACTAAGCGAAATTCTTAATAAAGGTTACGCGTTGACAAAAGATGCGCGGCAAAAAAAGTCTTATCTAATAATACGCTAAAAGCTGGCACGAGAATAAAGACAATGAATCGAATAAAATTGGAAAAACCCGCAAACTAAACAACTAATGTTGAACAACGCTTCGTGATTAATGACTGACTTACCTTGGCTGTGTACACAACTCCAAGAAGAAGATTCCTCGGATGATGTGGGCCATCCCAAGCTTAAATCAAAAAGAAAAAAACGCTGTTAATTGAATTGTTTACAGCAGTTGGAAGCGATTCAGTGAAGCGAACGTGGTTCTTCTTGCGACAGTCAATCAATTTATCACCACAATCTCTCCCCCAGTTTTGTAGAAATTAATTTAACGAGATTGCCGCGTTTGCAAAGGGGCAAAGAATTTTCGTTAGACAAAGTTGAAAGCTACTATCGAAACTCTGTACCTATTGGAAGTACATCGTGGTCCTTATGCTCGCAGAATCGGAAGAAAAGTCTGACTTCCGGAATGTTAAACTCAAACACATCGGAAACCATCTTGAAGACGTACGACTAAGCAACATCAGGTTTACATCTGAACCAGTCACATTTTCGCTACGAAATTGCGATCCAAGCCACAAAACTAACAAGCGCGTGCCCCACACAAACTCATTTTTTCACCGCGGAACACGAAACAGTGTTGACTTTACCCGACTCTGGTTTAGAACATTTGACAAATATGATATGGACACCCAACGACTACAGGTGATTAAATATTTATGTCTACAATGCGTGAAAAATACACACAGAAACGATAAACGAGCGGAGAACGAAAACGAAATGTTTACGGTTGCATTGGCGAAACTAGAGACTGATGGTCGAGTATTTCTCAAAGTTTAATCCATTTCAAAGTACCAACATCCGATATAAAAAATTTCCTCAAATGACAGTTAACAAGAAAAGCTCTTTAAAGGTGCTTGTCTTCATACACGCAGCTGTCTTGGCGCGAAACGGGTTGTCTCTTTCAATCTCTCTCGTTTACACTTCTCATTGTATTTCGCACCCAACGTTCTCGACTATTTATCGCATTTTGACAAGCCAGCACGATCCGACCGAAAAATCGATTTCACTGCAGGGACGCAATTTAATCAGACAAAAACCGTTAAGAGGTAAATGGATTTGGAGATTTCTTTTTTAATGCATCATAACTATAAACAAAGATTGTTTTGGGAGTGAAACATGAAATCGAGCTATTTCAAGCACTTGAAACTCTAAACTTATCTCTATGTAGTAAAAAAGAGGAAAACGATTTAAATTCGCCTCCTTTCAAACCGCAAAATTGCAATAAACATGACTAAAAATAACCAATTTGTTCTCGAATGCATTTTCGATTTCAATCAAAATCATTTTCACCTACAGAGTCCACTTGCCTTATTTCATTAAAGGTAAATAAAAGCAAAAGCGCTTTTCTTTGTGACAAGCCGACAACGTTAATGGAAATAATGCTAAACAAGATATTTGTTTGGGCCAAATTTGGATTTGCAGTCTCGAATAAAGAACTACAGTAGCTTGCAAACATGCCCTCATAATCGGTACTTTGACACAAGCGTTTCTTCGGGCGCGGGAAAGTATTAAATGAGGCCTTGAGCGACTCGTCTCAAATCTTCCCGCGAGCGAAGAAACGCACGTCCTGCAGCGTCAATAATAGGGACATTCTTTTGCATATAAAGAGTAGTTCGGTGGGGTACACACTCGTTAGCAACCACACAGCTCTTCTAACTTACTTAAACCCTTTCCATTTAAAAATCCTTTAAGCAAAATTACTTTATTCATAGTCTTTCTACCGTAGACATAGAAATATCGGCAAAATTAAGAATTAAAATTTTGACAACAATTATGAAGCCATCCACTCAAAAATACACACTTTACAGAAACGATGGCTCCGAAAGTGTGGAGCGCTAATTCGTTCTTGCTCCTTTGCTCCCAGACCTCCGTCTCAAAACGAGGCCTGGCTCCAAACCGTGCACAACAAGGATAGACAGATGAAAAAGTAACGGGGATTGAAGAGGGAAGAACTATTAGCAAAATTTTTAGATAAGTGTCGAAAGTAATCTGCGGTTGCTTAGGTGTTGCTCGATTGGTTCAAAACAGGCGCTTCTCTCTCCACCAATCAGATTCCAAACTTAAAACCAATCGCGATTTGGTGTCTCGCCTTTACCCGCGCTTTAGGCAGTATGCCTGTTTTTACTTGTTGTTATTCTTCCTTCCAATTAGCTGTCGTATTACTTTACTTTTGTTTTATTTAACTCAATCGTAATGCGCTTTAAGATGACAAATTTGTCTTGTAAAAAACAGAAAAAAAATTTGTGCCGCCGGCGTCTGCTGGCTGGCCAAGTCAGCGAAAAAGTAACCGATGTAGCGAAATTTGAAAATCTGCAGTTCCCAGCGTTTAAAGACCTTTCCCAAAACAAAGGAGAAAATCAAAATATTGTAAAAAACACATTTTTGTTACCAAGCCGTACCTTAAAACGACTTTTTCGATCAATAATATGGGACATGCTTACGTATTCAGACATTATTACTGGAACATTAGTATCACATCCGAGCTCATAACAATGATCACATGCCGAGTTCGTTGTCGGCTAATAAATTATCTCAGTTTTCCCTTGTTGTCGAGCGAAAAGCGAAAAATAGTGATCTAAGTTTGGAAAGTTTCGCTCTACTTTTAGTAATGTTATAAGAGTAACAAAAATTAAACCTCAAAATGACCCCTCCCCCCCCGAAAAAAAATATGTCGATTAGACTTCATTAAAGAATTCAGACATTTAATTCGCTCATCATTGAAAACACTTCCAGTCATAAAATATTAAGTGCGCTACATAAATTTGCTCGTAGCTCAATGCGAATCGCAGGTCTTAGTAGCTTAGAGAGATTATAAACTGTAATCGGCAGTAGTCACAGAGTGTGAAAAAAGAAGTGATCACTCGCCTTAAAACTGAGTAAGTTTAACTAATAAAAAAAAAGCGAATGCAAAATTGACAGGATGACAAATGTTTGGTAAGTGCTAACCGGGATGTTTTGTTTTTCGCCAAACGTTTATTCACAGTCGTTTCTCAACCAAATACGATTAGCCATATTTCGATGGAATCTCAAGTTCTACTGTGAATTCCTCACATATTCAGCGTGCCTAGCTCTGAACAAGGTGATTGAATTTCACTTGCTCCACTATCTCTTTTTGGTAAATCACTCGGCGAGAAAATAGAGATATTTCCAATTATCTGTCAGCACAAACTCGACGATGTAAAAGTAAACACTAAATAAAGACACATCACAAACTTACCTGGATTTCGCTCTCGGGCCTTGTTTGCCGCAGCCTACGAATAAAAATTAGGAAAGTAGGTTAAAATATCCAAACAACCTGTACCGCGGGCAATACGGAATATTATGACCCGGAAGGTAAATAACTCATATTTTACGTACAAAACCATGGCACTCTTCGAGAAGGCAGGTTTCGTGGAGATACGGCATGAAGTTTCCAGTTTGGAAGTGCGAACTGAAAAAAATACCGATTTGCTTAACGGCTCGGTAAAACTCGTTTGGCCATCGCCAAGAACAGAAAAGAGGAAATTCGAGCCAAAATGGTCCGCTTCGAAACTTTCTTGCACAAGATCCGAAAGTTATTCTTACTGTTGACCGACTTGATTTGTATCCATCACAGCGGTGGTTTAGCGCTCAATTATTTATCCCATTGATTCGCAATAAAACCACATTCTTCTAGTCAAAATAGCCCCGCAATTCAGTTTACAAACGCAGTAACAATGAAATCCATCCCGTAGAATAACAATTTCATCCGTGTCAAAAGGAGAAGGGAAAATGTTGAGTCCCGGGCCGATCGATCCAGAGCGCTTTTTCATTCGAGTCTTGTGATAAAAAACGAAACGAAGAAATATAAAGAGACGACAGATGTTTCAAGGAATATTGTGGTCACAAGATAACTAGCTTGCTTTTAGGAATAAGTAAAGATCATTACAGAAACAGGAATTTAAATCCTTTAATCACCCTTAAATTGACGGAAACAGCAACCGAAGGCAAATATGCATTTGTACTTGACAAAGCGCAATTACTTTTAAGGACATGTGAGCGACCGATAAACAGGCTTTGAGAAATGAAACACTTTCATGGGATAGGATCTTTCAACCGTGATAGCTAACTTTTCTTCTTTTTTTAGGAGTTCCACGAGAAGCAAATGAGAAACAAATTTTCCACAAGTTTTTGCAACAGATTTTCTCCGCTTCTTCCCAAGAGCATCATCATTTGTAATCATCTCTCAATGAAATTTTTCCCCGAGGAGATCATCAAGCCTCAAAGAAAAACTTTTTGTTGAGCGAGAGCAAATTGCTATTGAGAACATAATCTCTTTTCTGCACGCGATGTAACCTCTAATCAAGATCCTTTATGATAAAGATAAAATGAAACGATACTCAGGAGTTATAAGTAGATATTTTGAGTCTACTAAAGACAGACTTCAATGTTACCATCCACATCACCTATACTAACCAAGAAAGAAAAACGCCATCTGCAATATCACGTTTTCTAAAAGCCGCCCCTCGTTTGTCCCCAACCCCTTCCCGCCTCCACCACTCACCCTCTCCTTGCCTCACCCACTTTCCCACGTATTATGATTTGCCCCTGTACTCCAAGATCTTTTTCCAATCCATGCGAAAAACATCAAGAAATACAAGAGAAGCTTCAAGATTAAGGGATGAAAGCGGAATAAAACGAAGAAAGCGTCAGACGCTAGTCACTGGAAACAAACGACTTCGCGAGAACAGCCGCGCTCTTAGCAAGAAATACGATGATAAATAATTTAACCAGATAGAAGGATTTCAAACTCAACTAAACGGCGGCGTCAAAAGAAAACAAAAAATTAAAAAAACAAAACAAAACAAAATGAAGCACACATGAGAGACTGTTCAACATTTATGAAATAAATGAATAAAGCCGTCTATAAAATGCAGACATGTGAGCAGTTCACGATGAAGATTTGTCAGGAATATAATCTCTTATGAAGAAAGTGTATCGAGACGGGAAAAAATGTATGCCAGCACTTAGTTCAAAATCTGACGCATGGAAGTAACTTACAGATGAGTCAAAGAAATGTCCCGGCAAGCGGAAGGTTTGAAGCGGTGGAAGAGGGAGAGTTCGGGAATCATCACAGTCCTGCTGCCCCCGGCGTTGGGTCACGGCCTGCTTACAGCTCTTTACATACTCATGCCAAGTCATCTTAAAACAACCAGCAAATACAGACACAACGTGGAGAGCCAAGGAAAAGAGAAAATAAAGACACAGTTAGATTGAAGTTGAGTTTGTCTTCCAGTTTTCACTTTTCTCTGTATCCTTGCAAGGCAAAGATGAGATGAAGTCTAAGGTTCAAGTTGGAGAAAGTCAAGAAAGTTACTGTAAAGGGAGGAAGAATTCAGTGAGGTCTTGCTTTTGAGTACAAGACAACTGTAACAGTACGGTGTAGGAAAAACGTGATTAGAAAACTGTAAGTGTAGGTTAGAACTGTGCTGAAGTACCATATGTAACACAGAACCTTCAGTCAACATAGAAGCGAGTATTTCTTTGAGTGTGTTGTGATAATGCGGGGGTAAATACGAAGACGGAGTAGAAGGCAAAAAAAGGAAAAAGCTCACACCACAAAAATTGAGATTTTAATTGCGATTTGGACATTTTTAGCTTCTTTGGAGGTCTGAAATCGCAACTTCAGAATTGCAAGTTCGTCCACGGCCTAAATTGGTTTACTCAGTGATGTCTTTTTTTTTTTAATTTTTTAAAAGGTAACGTTTTCAGTAAGGACGTCTTATGTTCGTGTTGTCACGAGTGAGGGTCAAAGAAATAAAATCTGAGTTGCCATGAGGAATCGAGCCCTACACCGTCGGATTCCGAGTCCCGATGTTTCACCATTGAACTATACCGAACTCCATGACAAGCAACGCCATTTTTAGGGTCACACGTGAAAAGCGTTATGCATATTGCTAGGATCAGCAATTCAGACAGCAAATAGGATAAGACAGTGAAAATTGAGTTTGGTTAAATGAAAAAAAAAAAAAAAAAAAAAAAAAAAAGATATTCTAGAAGTTAGGCGGACTGAGATGAGAACAGAATCTAACTGCTCCATACCTTCTCTGCAGCACAATATTCACAAGTCTCCTCGTGTTCCGAGTCACTCTCTCCTGCTGGTTCCGAATGCTCGATGTTACGTGACGCTAGTCCCACCGCAAAAGTTCCCGTTTTCTTCACCTCTGCTGCCCTGTTCGTGCGTTCGTCGTCATCTGTTGACGATCCATTGTATGAAAGCTGCAGAGATTGACGCTTATCCTTCCTCCGAGAGCTGTAAGGAACACCGCCTGGGATGACCTCGCTCATCGGTCTCGTTTGTCTTCTGTTTGGTTTGCTGCCAACGAATCCCACGTCAGGCAGATCGGCAGGATCCTCTTCCCGCTTGTGACGACTCTTGTGTCCTGAAACTAAAAGCACATCATAACATAACTGACCCAAGGTGAAAAACAAGAAGCCAAAGTCAAACGTAAGAAGGACACTGAGTTTGTTCCACGTACTATCTATAGTCTCTTTCGTAGCCGCCGTTTCAGAGGGTCAGGCAACATGCTCCATAACCCAACCATACCTTGTTAGCCAGGACGCATTGCTTTCAGGATAGACCTAATCCTTTTTTACGCTTTTTTCAACGGACGGCAGGCAACGATACACGCACGACGGACGAGTCACGCTCCTCCTCTCGCTTCCACCTCGCGCTGCTCCTCGCCTATTTTAGGGGAAGGAACCAAGTTTATTGATCGCGACTTCCCTTCACCAGCGTTTAATAATTGTTAAATATAATATAATTATTTACTCACAAACTTTCCTGCCAGCCAAGCTTCCTGACTCGTACTCCTTTAACAAAGAAGCCTTTTGTGCAATAAGTTTATGGATCTCATCATCTCTGCAAAGCCAGACGTGTTTGCTTCGATCATGGGTGTGGCCACTGTGCTTGTGAGTGCCACGTTCTCTAGGAACATGGTCCCTGTTACCATGATCCCTAGCATCATGCTCTCTGATACCATGGTCTCTAGCAACATTCTCCCTGCTACCATGGTCCCTTGCAATGCGCTCCCTACTACCATGGCCCCTGGCAGTGTGATCCTTAGTAACATTGTCCCTCAAACTGTGGTCCTTAGCAACATGGTCCCTCGCAAGATGACCCCTGAGACCATGTTCCCTGGGGCTTTGATCGTGGTGACCAGAATGAAAGGAAAGTTTTTCTTGTGAACTCGAAAGGTGACCATTACTCGTTGGTCTTCCTCTCGGTTTGGATTTCGATTCACCTGGATTTTTAACCGGTGCATCGCTCCGTTTCTTCCTTTCACGACTGATTTCCTCTTCCTGATCAGATTCATCAGGCTTACTCGCAGTCCTTTTAGATTTGTTTTTTCTCACCTCTGCTTTTTCTGAGGACTTTTCTCTTTCCCCGCGCGTAGTTGTAGTGGTCGAACTAGATTTCTGTTTCTTGGAAGATACAGATTCAGACGAAGTTGTTTTCTGTGGTTTTTTCCTTGTTAACGAGTCCGATGTTGAGTCACTGTCACTTTTCCGTGGTTTCTTCGCTTCCTTTCTTGGTTGATTAGCAGCTACATGCACCTCATCTGTCTGGTTATGTGAACGAGAATCAGCGCGAAAATCAATGACTGGCCTTGTTTTCTTCTTCTCTTTTGTTGGCTGATTTCTCCGCTGCACATCCGCACCAATAGGCAATGACGAAACTGAGGCAGACTTAACATTTCCAGCTTTTGAAATTCCTTCCCTTTCCATGGCGGATGTTTTAGTTACTTTTGAGCTTTCTTTAAAACCCTTCTTAAGTTTTTCAGTCTGTTGCTTATTTGTTTCCTCTAAATTCTTATCTGCAGCTTTCACTTTTCCTTTCTTCGGCTTTGCTGCATTGTCAACTGGCTTTGAAGAGACAACAGTTTTTGATTTATCTTTGACCACCAAATCCTTGACAACTTTCTTTTCAACTTTCACGTGTTCATTATTACCTGGATTATCTTTTGTTACCTTTCTAGGATATTTTCCAGACTCAGGTTTTAAATCTTTAGTTTCCAAATCTTTTGAACTACCAAGTGCACGTTCCTTATCGTCTTCAAGAATTTTCTTTTCTCTTACTCCTTTATCAACCTTTTTCTTTGAATCAGCTTTCTGTTCAGTTCTGACAACCTTCATACCTTCTGCTTCACTCTTTAGAGTGTCCAGAAAAGTCTTTTTCAATTTGTCAACCTCTTGTACTTCTTTATTCACCTTTGAAGTCCTTTTAACAGTTTTGTGTTCAGGAACATCAAAATCTTCTACATCCCATTCCAATTCATTGTCGTCTTCAATGGGAACAAATTCTTGTGACTCGTCACTATCGTGATCGCTATCATCACGACGCGCCTCTTCTTCTCTAAAAGTATGTGAAACATTGTGGTCATGATCAGATTTTACAGTACCTTTCTCATCAAATTCACTGCCAACTGTATCTCCAGTTTCACCTTCATCCTCGCTTTCCTCTTTTTCGTCTTCGTGCGATTCCTCGACTGGGACTAAAGAGCTGCTAACCTCATCAGCAACAGACGCGACATTTTCGTTTTCTATTGTATCCAAAACTGCTTCATGATCACTCTCTTTATCATCCTCAACATCGTCATCAGGGTCGTCAGACTGATCCTGCTTTGGAATCTGGGTCTCAACTTCTGGAGATGAATCAGACAGTTCACCTTCCTCTGAATTTTCAGATTCAGGTGTGACAGGCCTAGGAGACTGCGGCACTACCTCAACATCTTCTTCTTCCTTCTTGTCGTCATTATCACCATCGTCAGCATTACCATCATTACTGATAGGTTGTTCCTCCTCCTCTTCGTCATCATCATCTTCATCAAACTTACCACCAGGCTGCTCATCGTCATTATCATTCGCATCTTCAGCTGGTGAATCATGAGCATAACCTCCAACAGAATCCACATCAGCACTTTCGGCAGCTTCTACAGCAGGGCTTCTGGAATCACTTTCTTCTCCTTCATCTTCACTATCAAGAGGTGGAGGCACTTCCCTTTCACTATCACTGTCAGAGTCATCAGAACTCTTCACGCCTCTCCTTTCTCTGGGTACAGGGGCTCTCCTGGAGCTCAAATCCTCCCTGCTACCACTGTCAGGTGAGGTAACCAGCTCATCTCCATTATCTGTGTTCTCAGCATTGTCATCGCTGTGCAATGGAGGGGGGCCGTCAATACCGTCAACATCACTACCCTCATCGTCATCCTCATCACTATCCAATGGGGGAGGACCCTGGTTTCCTTCATTCTCACTATCACTTTCGCTTGATGTTTCTGGATTGTCATACTGTATCTCTTCTCTGGTGTGTGCCACAACCTCAGTGTCACTGCTCTCAGAAATGGCATCACCATCTTGAATATCAATAAAGCCAGCATCTTCCGATGGCTCAAAGATATCTGCCAAAGAAAGATATACATTAAATGTACGTAGAGAATAACTCAATTCTGCTCATCTATTTCAGAAGCCATTCGCTCTGACGAAGGGCTAACGCATAAAACGTCAGCTTTGAAACTCTTTACTGTAAGCAATTTATGTTATCAACTCAGTTGATAATACCGTATTACCCTGTTGTACTCTGCCACCGACGCAGTACCAGTTTCTCTAGAAACTTACCCCCTTTATTTTCAAAAGCAGTTGCTTTATGTTGGTACAAAAGTCATCTGCTTAGTCTATTCTTCTATCACAGTGCTTGGATTACCAGTATTACTCATGTAGTGTTCATTACATTATAATTTCCCTCTTAACAACCCTTCAACTTCAAAGTGCCTCATTTCAAATCCAATATCTCATCAGCGAAATTTCTAGGCGTAAATTTAAACAGAAAATTCTACATCAAAAAGCACAATAATGAACCTTTTTTTACTTACCATATTCTAACACTGATTTACCTCCACAACTGCAGAAATATCTTATAGGCATTGAATTTTTCAATATCTCTTGATTAAATGAGAGAGAACTCATAACTATGTTTCTATTAAAACTACCTTGTACCAATAAATTACTTTACATCTCTAAGTACCTTTCATCTAAGTATACAGCACTATATTGAACTGACCACTAATAGTTGAGATATTGATTAGAAAATTACCCGTAAGGCAATTAAATATATTAGCAGTTTTATTTGGCATGACTTACAATATCTGGAGTAATAAATTCTGATAAGCCATCTCTCTCGTAGCATTTAACGAGAGTTTTCTATGAACATAAAATAATCAATAAGTTTGGGTACTTTTAAATTGTCACTCAGGTTGGTAGTCACCAGGACATATGATTGGCACATGCAATATCAAATTTAATACTTTAAAAAACTATGCTTTGATTTAGTAAAAGTTGTACAGACTAGAGCAAGGAAATACAACTGCAAGCAAATGGAACTGTCAAAATATACATGTCAAAAAGGCAACAAGTAATTCACTCTAAAGAAGAGAAATAGGGGATGGCCCTAACAGACATGAAAAACAACAATCTTGACAGCTCAGGATTGACATTGGTGAATAAGAAAGAAGAAATTCAGCTCGTAAATAACAGGAAATTATCAGATTCAGGTAATGTGAAATGCTACATCTTCATCCTCTCAGATGCTCTGCTCAACATCATCGACTGAGAGCTTGAGAGTGTGACCAATCAATGAAACTGCCATACTTTTCTCATTTACAAAAACACTCTTTTGACAATGAAAAGAACAAATCAAGGCACACCATGACTTCTTCATAAAAGATCCAATATTGATGGTGAGCCAGTTGTATGATTGAATTTATCAAAATTCATTCTGATACTGAAGATTGACATATTAATATGTCATAATTTTTTCAAAAAAAAAAAGACATGAGATTTCCGAGCTTGTCTCTGTAGTATTAGTTGTAAAATAAGAGTTCTGGGAGTAGGTAAAGGGTAAGTATGAAAAGGTGGTCTGGCTTGATGTGGACAAAATTATCCTTGGTTTTGACTTGTCCTAGAACTCTCATTTTACAACTACTCATTCAATGAAGGTTTAACACCAATGTGTTAAATTAGCCTTGATTAACACGTGCATGATGCATAAAAATTGATGAGGGAATGTGTTAGAAACCAGGCACTGCAGGAGAATTTCTTTTCGCAGGGAAAAGTTGTTAACATAGTTCTAATCCTAAGCAATTAAAGTTGTTTGATCTACTGAAAAGCCTGGAGGGCAAAACAAAGCTAAATGTAACCCTTGCATATGTTCTCTGGTAAGAAACAAGAAAGCATGATAGCATTACTTGTTTTCTTTAATAATGTAATGGACTGTCTCTACATCAATACTCTGAAGTACAAAAAAGGCATATTATCCTTTCAAGAGCATCCGAATTGAGCTTATAATGGAGTTATATGAGAAAAATGTAGATTAGATTGAACACCTGTTAAATTTGCCTCACCCTAAAATATGCCAACTAGAAAAAGTTTTAATATACCTTGCCACTGAACTAGAAAATGCTGAAGTAAATCTTGGCAAATATTTGGTCAACTTTCAGTTAATATTTTCTCTGATATTTAAGTGATGCAACATTACTTATAAGTTTTATCAGATCCTGAGGTAAAACAAGAGAGCATGAAAGCATTACTTATTTCCTTTAATAATGTAATGCACTGTCTCTACAATATTCAATACTCTGAAATACAAAAACACATATCACAAACAATTTCAGAACTGCATGGAAGTCTGTAGGTAACAACAGGCTGTGTTGGAAAATAACATCCACTTCATTTTTTAATTGAAATTGAAAATCCCACCTGATTAGACTTTTAGAATGAATCTTTTTGCACAAATTATAATTCTGTTCATATATTCACCATATTGACAAGTGCAAATCATCTCAATTACAAAGCAGCAACAAATTGATTCAAGACTCTCTGGAAAATCCCTAGACGTCACCTAAATCATGTATTTTGATGTCTCTTGATTTGAATTTTTCATCTATAAAAAATTACCAGTAATATAAAAGGATATTGGAAGTCATGCTTAAGTTTCTACACCAGTAAAAATACTTGAAACAAATCCTAAAAAAATTGAATTTTTCCTTCCAAATTTCAAACAGTTTTCTTTTATAAACAATGAGCAAGATAAATAAAATTCTGAAGTTGCAAAGTTGAATTCTAAATGACTAATTTTCTTAAAATTAACAATACCTTTTATTTGCCCATGGATAATGTACAAAAGGAACATAGGTAGTTAATAAATCCACGTATTTCATTTACATAAACTGACTAATAGGCTATTTAATAAAGGACATCAATTTGAAGTAAATGATCTAAATTACAACGCTGTACATCAAAATGATTTTTTTTCCAATTTGTTTGACTTTGAAGACCCAAGTACATAACTATTACAAAAACATAACCTTTGCATTACAAAATTACTATAATTTCAAGAGCATCCAAATTGAGCTTAAAATGTAATTATATGTCTGAGAAAGTGTAGGTTAGATTGAACCCCTGTTAAAGTTGCTTGTTCCTATAATCTGCTAACTAGACAAAGTGCTAACATACCTTGCCACTGAACTAGAAAATGCTGAGCAAATCTATAGTCCTCTTTCATTTAATACTTTTCATTAACATTTTGTTAATACAACATCACCTATTGGTTTTATCTGACCTTGAAGTTAAGATTTCTTTTTTGTAGAATGTTGTAAAAAACAAAGCTGATTACAAGTACGGTAATATCAAAGACTGATAAGAATGAAAAAAAGGTGATGCAAATTTCATTAGTACCCAAACAGAATACTAACAGTAAAAGAAAATACACATAACTATCCCCGATAAGCAAGTAAAAAGTCACTTTATGTAACCAAATACAAAGCTCTGCTCTCAGAGGAACCACAAAATGCCTTAGAGCTTCTGTCTAAAAAGGGGAGTTCAGCAAGTATAAGCTTTCAAAAAGCAGTTACGAAAGTCACCCAAAGCCACTGATTGACTAATGTCTGATTTCTCCTTACAATATTACCCCTGAATCACACATCAAGGTCAGGAGAATAAAGGAAATTATCACTAACTAAAGAGGATCTTGATTGTTAAAACAAATTCTCCTTGTTAGCACCTTGAGAAATGTATAGAGAACAGTGTGGAGAATATGAGTACTGATTTTATGTTGTAGAGCTCCAGCATTGGAAGCCATAAGCTTGAGAACAGACTTACCTTTTTTACATATTAATAATTTTATAATGCAACTTAATTTGTTACCTGAGTACTCCATGACTAGATCTTTGTGATCTGCAGATAAATCCACAGGCACATCATCCAACTGGGGTTCTGTGCTTCCTCCAGATATCACCACAGCACGACCAGGTTTACTAACTCCTCTTTTTTTTAGCCTCTCTTTCTCACTGATGGTATGTTTCCCTACATTTTAATAAAAGTAAATTAAACATTTAGGTCAAATGTGAAATTTTTAAGAATATGGTTTTTCTGTTTGAGTTCAAGATCCAAAAGCAGGCAAATTAGGAGAAAACAAAGTGCTTGAGAAGTGATAGAACAGGATTTTTCATTGGCAAATGCTGTAGCAGAAGAGAAGTTAAAAGGAAACCTCTGCTGGTAGAAAATTATTTATAAAACATAGAAAGTTAAAAGTTAACATTTCTGGGCCTAAGTGAGATTAAGTATTTAGTGTAAGAAAAGAGTGGAACAAGATATAGGCTCCTTTAAAACTGGAATTTTGAGCATTCTGCAGTGTTGGGTCTCACTTCACGGTTCCCACTACTGTCTACATGATCCCTGGAAACAAAAGAGCTATTGTGTGATGATAACAGTGGCAAAGGTATTACTGACAATAAACAATGCAAAATGACATCTACTGGGAAGTGCTTGTGGTTACTATAGGTAGTTTTTTGGCTCTTGTTTTTCTTTATAACTCACATGAACAACCCAATGGCAATGTGTGAGTACATGTACTTTGGTTCATGTGCAATTTATACTTTCAAAAATACAAACTTTACAATCATGGTATTCTCAGGTAAATGATCTGCAACAAAAATTGGCTCATAAATCAGAGATCTGCTTTTACTTATGCTTTCCTATATCCAAGTATTTTGTAAACATATTGTTATTGTGAAAATAATTTTAAATGAAAAGTCAATAAAAGGGTTAGTTTTGCCCATAATAATGACTAGTCTTTTGAAAGACACTTCACCTTTGAGTTTACCTGATACTAGAATATATACTTATGTAAAAACTGGTTCCTAATGAAAATACCATTTTGACCAGCTTTATTAGCATATGAGGTTTCTCACAGAGAAGTTAAAGATAAACTTCCCTCAAATTGACTTCCAAAATCTCAAATTAGGCTTTCACTGCCTTTCTAAAGTGCTGTTCTTTCTTTGTGTGGTGACTAGAATGACAGCATATGACAACTTCCTAATCACAAGACTTAGACAAATGAAAAATTGATCTTTATCTCCAAAAAAATAAATCACACACTTATAATAAGATTTTTCTTTGTATGTCTCAAAACAGAGTCAAGTTACAAAGACACTCACAAGCAAATAGGGTAATCAAGGATGATAACATTATGAGATGGTCAAGTAAATATTATCAATTTTCTTAAGGTAAATTCAACTTAGTTTGTTATAGTTTTAGTGAAAATTCACTGCAACAATTTTATTACATGGAATTCCTCTTAGTATGCTTCAGGCTGTTAATCAAACAAAAATAACGAGACGATTCCTCCAGAAAATGGAGTGGGCGTGTGGTCAGTGATAGTTACGAGATTTTAAACATAAATTTTAGATTATCTCATAAAATAACAAAATTAAAAGCTAAGCGTTGTGGTGTCGCCATACCACGGATTAAAAATTAAATCAGAGCGAAACATGGCTGTTTTATCTTCAAGCAATCGTTCTTGCTTCTTCAACGAATTGTACAGGAAAAAGCAGTATTTCTATGCGAACTTTTATTCGTTAACATCTTAGGCATCTTCCGGTGTGCACAAGTACCACGCCGTCGTAGACTATGTATTAAGTACCATTTCTCCTCTTAAAGTTTGTCACAGCAAGAAGGAAAACCTTCCTAAAGGGGTATCAATTTAATGGTGTCCGATTACACAAAAGAAAATATCTCCTCTCCCACTGAAAAAAAGGACATTACTCGATCAATCAAATATTAGTCGCTTTCCCAAAATCAGCGGCTTTTAATTCACAGGGTGCGACAGTCTCACATCTAATAGATTTCACCGCCTTGAGCGGTAAATTTATGAACAGTAGAGAGACTTTGTCTCTAGAATAGCCGTTATTTAATACGATAGGAAACAGTAACATAATTTTTACCTTTTCTTTTCTCTTTTGAATGCTCTGTACCGACATTCTTTTGCTCAGAAATTGTCAATTCTTGGCCGTCGGAATCCGAATCCGCCATTTGGAAAAAGTTAACTTGACAGTATACGTTCCAGACCTCCTCGACCTTTAAAGAATCCTTATAAAAAAAGACTGGAGCGATTGGAAAAATAAGAAGCAAACATGGCCGACGACATCAACGAAGAGCATCCTCTTGATACTGTTATTTCGAGCTTTGAGGACGCTTTTGATCATCCAGAATTGTATCTTAAACCTCCCACTTCTCTTCATAAGAATACGTTAATTGCAATCAAGCAGATATTTGACTTTTGCAAGAGAGATGAACTACGTGGAAAGCGTTCTGTTGCGAGCACGTGTCCTTTGCAGGAACTCTTGATCGAAAATTTTGATGATGAACAGATATGGCAAGAAATTGAGCTGCAGAATACTCCTTTGATGCGTGGACTTAAGCAAGAAATTTTAGATTTGAAAGAAAATCCTAACAAGCTTTCTCTTTTACTTGGAGGAAGACATATCGTGAATCACAGACAGGACTTGGAAGAGAAAAAAGCCAATTTTGGAAATGACAACGGCGAAGTAAAACATGCAGAGAATTCTGATGATCAGTTTGATAAAGATGATGAAAATGGTGATGAAGACGATAATGATGATGACATCAGCTGCAATGATGATGATGATGACTACAATGACAATGGTGGAGATCATGAAGAGGAAGATGCCAATATTAATGATGATGATAGTAGAGAAGTTAGCTTTTCTAATGGTGGTAACAGGAAATCAAGACCATCCAAGAAAAAATCTCAAGTTGATGACACTTTCTTCAAACTTTCTGATATGCTTGAATTTTTAGATAAAGAGGACAGAAAATATGAAAGAGCTTATAAAAAGGACAACAAAATAAATGATGAGGATGTTAGTGGCAAAGAAGATATTGAGCCTATTGACTACTTTATCGAAATGGATAGTGATGACACTGATGATGATGAAGATGAGGGGTGGAGTGAAGCTATAGATGCAACAGAGTCACTTGTTAGAAGGTATGCCTGATGTGCTAGGATTCTACAGAAATTAGTCTTTTTCAACTTCCTCACTCTCAGGAATGACCTAAAAGCAATTTTGTTCCTACAATATCAAAAAGTTTTCAAGGGAAAGGGTGATGAGAAAAAAGGAAAATACCTACAAGGAGATAACTTTTATTTCACACAAAATTCATACAGCTAAAACTACAAGACATGTATCACAGACAGTACAAATAATTTATGTTTAGAGTTTCTGAGTGAGAAAGTAACCTACATGAAGTGGTATCTCAAGACACACTCAATGTATTTAAGGAAAGTATCTTGCCCGGGATCACCAAACATTAAACTTAGGTAGGACTTATAATTTAATTATGCTGGATGAACATGATCCTGTGAAAGTTTGGCATGTATATATAAAGCTTCACTTTTGTAGCCTTCACCATATTTATTGTTTTTGAAACAATAAAAAGAGAGGTAACAGCTAGGATTTTGGCTTACCTGTGATTATATGAATTTTTTTACTTTTGTTTGAGAAGAAAAAAGGAGAAAAATAGGAAAGTAACCAGAAGGAAAACATCTGCTATCAAAATGAAATATGCAGACTTCTTTGATCCCCCTGAGGGAGAGGATGGCGATGGAACAAATGAACAAAATGGGGATGTTGACAAAGATGAAGAAGAAGAAGAAATGGAAGTAGATACAGAAGCTGATACAGATCAAGACACAGAGGATGATGAAATTGCTTCTATAGGTCACAAGGAAGAGGATACTAAAATATTGTCAAATTTTGAGAAAAAACAAGAAAGGGTAGGCTTCAGAGTACACATCAAAATTTTTAATCAAAATTGAAGGTTACCAGTAAATAGGAACTCTATAACTCAGACAGTAGTGCTTATTGTGGTTTTGCCTTCTGTATTACAAAACATTCTTTAGACTGAGCCACACACCAGAAAAAATATTTAATGAAACTGTATGATCATGTTGAAATACTCTCAGGGATCTTCACTTATCTAACAGAAATAATTTTCAGTGGTCAGTGCAAGGTAATTCAGTCCATGTAGTATTCTTTTAAACGTCTGAGCAGTTGTGTAGGTGTTAATGGCATATAATAATGTACCAGTGGCTTACATGTACCATACCCATAAACCATTTTAATGCTTTTGTAAAATGATATCACTATAGCAATTAGAGATCTTGTGAGGATGTTTTTCAACCCCTTAATTCACCCAAGTGACCAGAACATAATTTCCCCTTGGGACATCACTACATAAACAAGTACCAGTATACAAGAGATGAGAATAAAGAAAAAAATCAACCAGGAGATTATTGGTTGATCCAATACTAAGTTCTCAGGACTAACATCACAAGAATTCTATGGCAGGCAGTAAGGAGAATAACTTACTCATGAGATCTTGGGAGTGAAAGGTTTAACACTATCTTCCCCTTTATTCCTGTACTTTGCTGGGATTTTAGGATTTATTGGACATAGAAAGATTCTAAATTAATCTTTGTTTTCTTTATTTAGTTAAAACAGAAAATTGAAAAGCTAGAGAAAGCCAACTTGGCTGAAAAACCCTGGCAGATGTCAGGAGAAACTGGTGGAACTGTGCGACCAATCAACAGCTTGCTTGAAGAAGATGTCAGCTTTGACCATGCAACCACTTCTGGTAAACAAATTGATTACGACTCTTTTTCCATAAGTTTAGTTATTGACAATGATTTTATTGTGTCTTTAGTTGAAATTAGTGTTAATTTATATATGGCATCCTTCTTGAGGAATTTTCTCCATTGATCACAGCTGTTACTCAACAAGGCATCAAAAATGTTGTTTAAAGTTTTTAAAATTAGAGCTTTTAAGTTTGAGATTCTCAATTAGAAAGAAGCACAGTGAGCCCAATGAGATTTCTTACTTCCCTCAAAGCCCTTGATACCTTGAGACTGAATCAGGATTCTTAAGATCATGATTTTATAGGAATCATGCTTTCTGTCACCCCTATGTATTTTTTGGAGAACATATTTACTTAATATGAAGTAATGTAAAGTGGCAAATAATTGGAAGGTGATCACACATTTGATCTCAATCCATAGAAAAAATACTTTGGTAAATGTTTTAAACTGTTCGGTTTTGTCAGTGAAGTATAGCAGGAGATATATGCAAACTAGCACATTGCAAGTTGTCAAATGTCTCTAAAATAGGTGTGACACTTTCACATCTTAGTGATGCTCTATTTTTGTCGCAGAAATCTATTTCTGTCAAATCTGTTTCTGAAATCTCTATTTCTGTCACAGCTCCAGACATAACAGAGGAGACAACACAAAACTTGGAGGATATAGTGAAACAGCGCATCAAAGATGAGGTACATTTCTTACCAATTAAGGATGTGATACAGTGCCAAGTTGAGAGATTTGATATTATGTGATATAGTGTGATGCAGTGCCATGTAGCAAAATCACCTGATTTTTCACAAATTTTACTCCCTTTTTCCTTCTTTTTGAGACAGCTGCCACATTAACTTTTATTACAGGATCTAGGATTGTTAGTTCTTACTCTTGACTAGAATATTTAATTTTGTGACTTCCCTAGTATTTCTTTACAATTCACCTGCCAATGGCTGCAACAATATAAAGTATTTGAATTAGATTTTGTTGAGAAACTGTTGATGGCATTTTTTTACAGGCATGGGATGATGTTGAGCGTAAAGTTAAGCCTGTCGCTGAGCCATATGAGTACAAGAAAAAGTTACCTCTGGATCAAGAAAAGAGCAAATTAAGTCTTAGCCAGATCTACGAACAGGAATATCTTAAACAAACACAGGTACAGTAAATACCAGGCAAGAAAATAGAAATTACCAGCTTGGACAAAAAAAATTAGTTATCAATAACAGGATTATCATTGGTAGTTGATTAAATATGAAATTCTCCAAAGTAGCATCATAAGAATTTTATAGCACACAGTAAAGATAATTTTAAATGATGCTGGGAGTGAAGGGTGAACCCTTCATAAGTCAACAAAGTCTTCACATCTATTTTTAATAATAATTGAAATTGTTAATACTTTAAGTCCAGGATGATTTAAGTTATGTTATGAAATGTCATTTTAAACTCTATATTTTGCAGGTGGAAGCTGAAGAGAAAGAAATTGAAGAGCATGCAGAGATCAAAGCCTTGATGACAAAACTTTTTGTAAAGCTAGACGCTTTGTCAAACTTTCATTTTACACCTAAACCAGTAAGTTGTCCAGTTCAGACCTACAGTAAAGAATTCTCTTCCAGAATCTATTATTAGAAGTTGCTCTTAGTAGAAACTCTTTTGCTTCTCTCTTGTTCTCCAAATTTCCAGCATGCATCCATACCTTGATCTAAGCATGCCAAGCATTAATTAATTCTTAATTCTTTTATTAGTGCTTGGGGCTTAGCCTACAAGCAGGCCACCACTAAAAACACTGCTGCATAAATGTTTCTATACCCCTGAGAGAGATTGAGGCATTGGACAAAGCAAACTGGCTAGAGGTCTGCAAGTTCAAGGCCTCAAACTTTCTGGCAGGTTAAGAAATGCTTGCTCCTCAGGATAATGACCACCTGCTTGCAAGCTGTCCAGGGTTGAGTTAGATGTGTACACTGCAAGCCAGTCTCAATGTCGACTTTCTCTTATTTCAGCCCAAACCAGAACTTAAAGTTGTCAGTAATGTCCCAGTGATATCTGTAGAAGAAGTGACCCCAGCAACTGTGAGTGATGCAATGATGTTGGCTCCAGAGGAGGTCCATGAAAAGAAGAGAGATCAGAAAGGAAGTTCTGAGAAAACAGACACTGACAGAAAACGCGACAGAAGGGCCAAGAAAAGAAGGCAACATGACCAAGCTGCGGCAAGAGGAAAGAAAGCCAAACTTAAGGAAAAGCTCAAACCTGGCCTGGGAAACAAGTATTCTAAAAAGGCTGCTCTAAAGAAATTGGAAAAAGATCAGACATCTCAAAAAAATGTGTCTGTGTTGAGAGACGAAGGTAGTGATAAACCTGTCAAAACTTCATCAACCTTCTTTTCTCGCCTTCAAGATGAAGTCAGGGATCAAGTAAAAGCTAAGAAAGATAGTAAGAAAAAAAAGGAGAAGTCGGCTGCTAAAGTGTCCCAATTGAAACTCTGAAGTCAAAGCATGGTGTGGTTCTACATTCTGCTTGTCTAAATGATTACTGAGCAATTCTGCATGAGTGACCTGTCAACAGTCGCGATGTGAGGTTGCATTGGAAGATTTGTGTGTCAAGTATGGACACGCACACCTCTGAAGCTAATTTAAATTATAAAATTAGTGAACAAGTTCAGAAGTAAATTCTGTTCGTGATGATACACAATAAAGGTATCTGAGAGAAGAAGGTCTATAACCATATGTCTATCATCTCTAGTCCTGTTTTCTGAAGCAAAACAAGTAATCAATTGCTGTTGATAACTTTGGTGGAGCTTAAATAAAAGAATTTGTTTGATAGTCATTTGGTATCAGTGTAACATTAAAAACATATGTTGGCAAGCTAAAAGTGAGTGTGGACAAGAGGTTTGATGTCAGTTATGAAAAAGTGGCAATTGCTTATCAATCATAATCATTGTCACCATTACAGCCTTTTCAAAGTCTATTTTTTCTTAAAGGATAATACAAGGGGATGATGTGTTTTTTCTACTATTCCTTCTTTCATGTTTAAACCCAGCAACAATGGTAGTTTTTTTTAAACAAGTTTAACTTATTAAACTCAACTTTGAAGCTCTCTGAGAAGCTACAAACTACAACAAAAGTTACACACTTAACAAAACCTAGGTTGGTATCAATAAAACTATTATTTTACAATTTGATATATGGACAAATGACATTGTCTAACATATTTACAATTCTGGCATAGATAATTGGGAGGGAAAGATCCTGTTAAAATTTCCAGCCTTCTCCCGGCTTAGGTGCATCTTTGTACTCATCTATTGGAGTACTAAAGGCAGCATTTTTACGGAATGGGGTGTCCTTGGTCTGCACTTGAGATACGCCCTAGAAAGAAAAAAAAATCCAGATTATTATAGGTTTAGACTACACAAATTTCAGGTTGCAGTTAATGTTTTCTGTAAGTTTTTCTCAGTATATTTGAGGACTTGATACATAAGATAAGCCCTGTTCACAAATATGATAATTGCTTCACATCTCATTATTACCTGTAAAAACAACCTTGCAGGCTGCTAAATGTAATTAATCAAGACCCTGCTAGAGCTCTCTTCCAACCTTACTAAAAATGTTGACATCCATAGTACTTACATGAACTTCTTCAGATCTTTCCAGCCAAAAGGTTGCAGGTTGTTCTGTCTTGACATCATGATCCTGAGTAGCAAGACAAAACAGAAATTTTCTAAGGATTATTTTGTAGAAAATACAGGTGGTAAAGTCTGAAGGTCAAGTGGCTCTCATCTGCTAGTGCCTATCCCCAGTTTTTGTAGTATAATGTAACCAGGAGGATGTCCCAAGTGAATGGGATGCCAAATCATTGCAGGTGACCCCATGGATTATTTCAAGTTTTCCTTAGTTTCTGATGGTTTTCTAATTCGCATTTAAACTCCTAAGCTGAGTTGTTCAAAGCTGGTTTTAAGAAAAGCCAGAGTTAGTGTGAAATTTGATTTCAGATCTGAATTTCAAAGCTTTGAAAGAAAGTCAACATCAACAAAATTTTGTCTACAATTTCATAATTAGATGGTCTAAAAAGAATAAGGAAAATTATCCTGAAGGGGCTTTAGAACAGAGAAATATTGAAACCTGGATTAAAATTTAACCCTGGGTTAGCACTAATCTGCCTTCAAACAACTGGGCCCTGTTGTAGTTAGGTGCCTTGCCAAAGAATACAACACAATAACCCATATGTATTACGTTGACTAAATAATTAAGGCAATCTGCTTCAAGTAGTCTATTCCAAAAAATTCTAGAGGTTGTCAGAAAAATTGGAGTGCATGGTTAAGTGTGAATGACAACAGCTTAAATAACAGTTACAGAATCATCCACTGAAAACATTTCCTTCTAAATGTTTTTAATAAGCTTACCCGTGTTGGTACCTTGACTATCGGAGTAAACTCTGTAACAAATTAACAAATAACAACAATGATATTAACACACCAATTTGTGATACAAGTTACTGACAATAAAATACATAGTTAGGAAGATTCAAGCACATTACTAACAGGTAAGTGATATTTTGCACAAATTATGACATTACAAGTAATTTGCTGTTAACATTTAATATGACAAACCTTTTGAAAAATCCTTCTTGGTTGTGGAAAGATATTCCACAGTAGGTGGTGGAGGGTTAAATTCTTCATCAACTTCAGCACTAAAAACAAAAGAAGCAAATTCACTTTTCTTTGCAATTCCAATATGTTGTCATGCCAACAGATTATGAGAACAGGCAAGCTTATCAGCTGGAGAGTGTTATTTCATATGAGACCAAATTCTGATCTTTAAGTCACAAGGAAATGTATAGCAGACAATAGGGAGGATTACTAATTGGATCTTGGGAGTTCAATGGTTGACTACCATTGTTATGGCAAAACCATAACGCTTATTTAGTTAAAAAAAATCCCTACAGAAAAGGTATTTTAATTTTGTAAATTTATAACAGTGAAGAAGTATATAAAACTGGGTAACTTGCAGATGCAAATTAAATGCAAATGTGTAATTAATAAAATTTCTTCCATTGTCATAAGTGTTCGTTTATTGGAGTCTGTAAACAGGAGAGTGACCAGTTCATTTGCTGGCCAAAAAAAAAGTTTCATTCACTTGGCATCCAAGCAAACTTCCTTTTAATATACCTCACTTGTCTGTAGAGCTCTTCCTGTAAAAGTTGTTGCCTCAAACCAATTTTTCGTACTCCATGTGTCTCTGGTTTCCTGTATGAATCTCTGACAGTTGACAATCTCTCTGCTTCGGCATTAAAATCTGTCGTCAGGATACCCTGATATAGAAAAGATGAACAATGTAACAACACATCAATCATCATGATGCATATTGGAACATCTTATCAACCATGATAATAACTTGTACATGCATGAATTTAAATAAACTCCTCTTTTCAAGAAAATGACACAGAAGGGACAAAGGATACGTCAGTCCTTCCCTCGCCTAAGTTTCCCCCCTCAACCAAGAGGCATGGCATGACTACCAACATGGGTGCCTCGATGTTCTCCAAACTATTTTCTTC